TGATACTAGGTATATTGTCTTGACAATAGTAATATAAGCTAGAGTAACACTTTGCATATAATAACGATTTTACCGGAAATAGCCGCAGCATTCGAGGTCATTCCGAATTTGAAACTCTTGGCACTGGCGTTACGCTACGCTGGTCCGACTTCAATGACTTCGTTGATCACAATTGTACGCAACAGTATGGCGCCTTTCATGCCTTTGTCATGAATCCTTTTGACGATTGCCTTCATCCCAGAGTTCTTGGAAGTTCTAAGATCCGTCAACCCGCCTGGAAGATGGAAAATATTGGTTGTCGACGATCATTCGCAAAGACTGCTCGGCGCAGTGCTTAAACAGTTTGATATTCTCGAAGAGAATGTGACTTGTATGACGAAATCTGATACACAAGGAGGTCCATCGCTCATTGAACACTGCTACCCCGCCCACAGTGATTGAATCTATTACAAGTAAACGAGACCCTCAACCGGAATTCGAGGCGTTATACTTGCTTATGCCCACAACGCAGAATGTGGACCGAATCATCAGAGATTTCACGGATCATAAGCAGTATGCCGCTGCGCATTTGTTCTTCACTGAAGGTAATGGCTTCATGTTCTTTGGCGCTTTGCGTTCCCTTGCTTTATCAGTGACATCGGGATCAATAGGGCTCTCTGAGCATCTCTTTGAGAAATTGACAGCCTCTCCTGCAGAGCCTCATCTTCGAGGGTTGAAGGAACTATTCATTAATATCAATGGTATGTGACTTTCTTTGCCCAGAATCTCTAGCTTATCCTTATACGCACCTCAAGCGATGGAAGCACAAATGTTTTCATTACAAGAACCGAGCTACTTCTTTAGTACGTATAGTCCTCCGCGAACAGATGCAGCATACAAACCGGCCCGTGGCCGTCTGGAGGAAGACCTTCGATTTGCGAGCAAGATGGTGAGGAGTATTGGATTTTATTATTGATCTAAGTTACCTTGAGCTTTCATTCCAAGATAACGAATGTCTGCATCTCTCTCAACGAGTTTCCTTATATTCGATATTACATGCCTTCTACCCATCTTCCATTGGGGCCGTTGAAACCTATTCCTCAAAATCGACCTCCAGCAGCGCAAGAGACGACTAGTCGATGGCGTACGAATCTTGCCCGTGGCTCAGAAGCCAGGGTTCAGGAAAGTGCAGAGTCGGATTATGTCACGAAACTACTTGCTTTCATGGTTCAGGGAATTTTGGAGGAGCATAAGAAGCTAAATCCCGATTTTGGCGTCCGTTTTTTCTCTTCATGCTGATACAAACTGGGAAACTAATCCTATGGGGTAGAAAACTGACCCTCCAAGGCCAAGAGCGACGCTCTTGATTACGGACCGCTCCATGGACATGGTAGCACCTTTCTTGCATGAATTTACCTACCAGGCCATGGCGAATGACCTTCTTCCCATTGAAGACGGGACAAAATACTCGTTTGTCTTTCTTATTATATCTCCAATACTTCTGACGACCTACAATGATCTTACAGCTATAAATTTCAATCCTCAGTTGGCGCATATGAAGACAAAACGGCCGTGCTTTCAGACGCCGACACCGTCTGGACTGCAGTCCGGCACTTGCATATGCGTGAAGCAATCGATAAGCTTATGCTCGACTTCAATAAGTTTCTAGAAGAAAACGCGGTCTTCAAAGGGTTAGACGCACCCCCTTCACTAATATCCATGGTCTGACGTTTTCCTGTAGTGAAGGAGCCGCCAATCTCAATGACATGAAAGAAATGCTTGCAAACCTTCCACAATTTCAAGAGCAAAGAGAAAAGGTAGTTTCTCGCGTTTAACTCGTTTCTCAATTACTCAGTGTCGCATAGTTCTCCCTGCACCTGAGTATGGCCCAAGACTGCATGGCAATCTTTGAAAAGGAAACTTTACCAGATATAGCAAGTGTTGAACAGGTATTGACTTCCTTACTCTCTAAGCCCTGCATTGCTCAACCAGCTTCAGTGTTGTGCCACTGGTTTGACCTCGGAAGGGAAGCCTCCCAAAGGTCTTGTGGAAGAGATGGTTCCTTTGCTGGACAGCCGAACGGTTATGTAAAAATCTCTACCTTCGACCGCATCAGATGGTCTCACTAAAAATTGGGGCAGAAATATGCATAAAGTCCGAATGATTTGTTTATATATCCAATATCGTGATGGCGTTCCAGATGAGGATCGCCGGAGATTATATCAACACGCACGGTTAACACTTGCGGAGCAAGATGCTGTCAACGCTTTAGTGTATCTCGGGGTTAAAATATCAAAGGTATTGTGTACCTTGATATGCTCTTGAAACTGACTTGACATCCAAATGTTCAAGGGCCCCACAGATAGAGACACTAAGAAGTTCAAGCCGCAAAAAGCAATCACCGGAGAAGAATATGAGCTATCTCGATTCAAGCCTGCTCTGAAGACGGTCATCGAGGTGTTTTTGATATTGATCTATGAAAACAGTTGAATCCATACTGATTTCTCTTTTATGTATCAGGATCAAGTCGGCGATAAATTGGATTCTTCCACGTTTCCGTATGTGAGAGATGCACCGTCCCTCATGCCGTTAACCCCTCGTTCGCCACCACCACAAACAACATCCCTGCGTAGTCAGAAGCCCGCCTGGCATAGAGCACCCAAATCAACGACAGTTTTAGACAATCGACAACGAGTCTTGGTCTTCGTTGCAGGTGGCGTGACGTATTCTGAGATTCGAGAGACGTATCAGTTATCCAATTCACTGCAGAAAGATATTTATATTGGTGAGTTAGTTGAATATCACTTGTTGTTGCACAACCGAAAGATTGTCATCAGGCTCTACACATATGATTACACCTCGCAGATTTATTGATGACCTCAAAGTTCTTGATCTTGGTGGTGCGGGGTCGAAAGCCATACCCAATGGCCTGCGCGACATGCGAGGGGAACCGAAATCACCTCAAGAACTTTACGATGAGAAATATTTTGTGAAAGATGCTCGGCTCCCGCAGCAACCATCAGCTCAGAAGGGTCGTCTTGGACTCCCATCTCGTCCTTCTGCAGGGAGAGTATCGCCAATTCAACCATCACCAACGAATTCATTCCAAGGCTCAGTCAATTCCCTAACACCGAGCGCTAAAGAAGAGAAGAAGAAGAAACGAGGATTACTATCCAGATTTGGTGGTTGAGGGTGGTTCAAGGAGTTCCACGACATAAATAGTTTACAATACCCAGAGCGGGATGTAATGTGAAATATAGGGGTGTACACACCCCAACAGTTCAGAGAGACATTGCAAAATTAAAGGTGTATAACAAAACAGAAGGAATATTGAAAAAATTACGTTGAGTACTCCATCTTTGCTGTGAACCTCTGGGTCAGGAGGTGTAGTATCGTTTGGAAAAGCCAGTAACTCACTTTCATGCTTTTTTGCCTCTCCAACCTTGCGTGCAGCCTTTGTAAGGTCTTCTTGATTTACATATTCTCGATCGTCCCTGATGGCAAACATGCCTGCTTCTGTGACGACATTTCGCAAATCAGCTCCGTTGAACGTGTCAGAAAGCTATATGCCAAGGGTCAGGTAAAGAAGGCAAGTAAATTAAACCAACATCAACCTTTACGATGGCCTCATAATCAATATCGCCACCTTTGTTAACAGGGGCGGCATGGATTTTTAGGATTTCTAGACGAGCCTGTTCATTTGGTAGAGGCACTTCAATCTTACGATCCAAACGACCAGGACGGAGGAGTGCGGGATCTAACGTGTCAGGTCGATTTGTCGCCATGATGAGCTTTGTCTTTCCCAAGGAGTCAAATCCATCCATTTGGTTCAGAAGCTTAGAAAATCGTGGACCAGTCAACATCATGCAGCAGATATATGGGAAGATACCCACTTCCATGAGTGTACGCTGAATTTCACGATCCGCACTGGTACCCTCTGAGAAACGACGACCACCGATAGCATCAATCTCATCCATGAAAATAACGCAAGGTTCATGGTCTCGAGCATATCCAAACATCTCTCTAACCACACGCGCACTTTCTCCAATATACTTGTCAACAATGGCTGAAGAAACAACTTTGAGGAAATTTGTTTGTAATGTAGCTGCTACAGCCCGTGCAAGCAAGGTTTTGCCTGTTCCCGGGGGACCATAGAGAAGAACACCTTTGGGAGGTTTGATCCCAACTCGAAGGAAAAGTTCGGGGTTCATTAAAGGGAGTTCAATGATCTGTAGGTGTTATCTGTGACTTTCAATATACAGAGATTAAGAGCACATACCTCCCGAAGTTCCCGAACCTGCTCGCCTAAACCGCCAATGCCAGCAAAAGAAGCACCTCCTGGGTCTTCTAAACTCATCTTGTAAACAAGGGGATCAACCTCTCGAGGTAATATGCGCATTATTGTTAATGTGGTCATGTCGAGCGAAACGCGGGTGCCAGTCTTCAACTTTGCTACAGGGAGCGTTGGACGATAGGATACGACATATCGCGGTCCTGAAGACGCTTTTACGATAACTATCGAAGGAATGTCATGAATGAGATCTACGATGTAAAAAGTGAGTATAGTTTCGCTACTTACAACGATCGGTGTCCAGTTGCTTCATGACCTCTCCAATGATTTGACCAACAGACTGTACGGCCTTGATATCATCTTCTGTCTTTGCATATGCCTTTTCTAAATCCTTCAGAGAGAACCTGACTATTTGAATAATTAGAATATGTTTACAAGAGAAAAGTACATCACTGACGGTTCTTCAGACTCTCGCTGCTTGCTTCATGGCTTCGCATTTTCTGTTACGCCAATATGATCAGTAAAGCTAGAAGATAAAATGACTAGTAGACGACCTCTCTATAGCCTTTGAGCGCATCTTTTCTGCGTTGGTCCATCGCTCCAGAAGATGTTGAAGGTTGTGAGTCCATAAAAGAGGAAGGTTGTACTTAAGTATAGGTGAACGCGTAAGTCGCGCTTTCATATCTGATTACAAAGCAATATAATGACCAAATATTGCCTCGTTTTCATCGGCCTGATGGTCTAGTAGTATGATTCCTTGTTAGGGTCCTTCGGGGCATTTCGAGGAGGTCCCGGGTTCAATTCCCGGTCAGGCCCACTGAGTAGATCCTTTTGTTTCGTTTTGAATGGCGGTGCAAGGCACGAGCAGATACGCATAGATTGGCGACGTGGATTATCATTGTTCTTAATAGTGTCTTTATTGTCAGAAATAGGGAGATTTGCACAATAATGATAATTATTAAGAAACAACATGCGTATATCTAGGTATAGGTTCTCCCTGAAAACCATAAGCATGTTCCACAGGAAGAGGAATCATCTGGGAAATAGGGGAATCATGGGACTGCGGAGGTGAGGGGTACAGTTCTAGAGATGATTTTTCTTTCCTTGGCGGCATATCTTTAGAAGTCTTGATGTGGAGCGTTGAAGGAAGGGGACGGTGCTGTTGGTGGGAGAAGGCTGCTTGGTGACCGACTCCAGATATCGATAGTCCCCGAGTGCGTCCATATACAGTCCCGGAGCCCATATCCGTTGCACTTGCGTTGGCATACCCGGGGACTATCTCTGATGGAGGTGATTCCGTGCCCAATAACATCCGTGAGTCTTCTTTCGTAGTTGGCAGCATCATGTCATTCGCTGCTTCCATTCTCCTTAGTTTCTTCTCGCCCTTGTCAACATCCCCTTTGGCATTGTTGTACATGTAAAGACCAGCGAAAGTCATACATATGCCCAAGGCCTGGATGGGATGCACAGACTGTTTGAACCATACAATCGCGATGCAGATGACGGCAACCCGTTTTATAAGTGAAGCGATGGAGTATGTGACAGGAGAGGTTGAAGATAGAATGACGAAGGCAATGATATTCTGCGCGTAATGGACAGTTCCATTAATGAAGAAGTAATAAATGACTGAATGAGGAGGCGGTTCGTCTTTGCTTGGGACGGCCGTTACGGTGGTTCCAGACAGGAATAGAGGGAGATCGCAATACATCCAGACAGGGACCATCAACAAGAAAGCCATTCCTGACGAATACAAAAGTAGATTCATCTTGTCGAGTTTGTGTGACGATACTGATGATGTCCCTTCCACGTGCGATGGCATAATCTTTTTGAAAAATATATTGGAGCTCACGAAAACAAGGGCTGAACCGAATGCACAGAGTAAACCTGTGGCGTTAGAAGCTGAGACGTCGAACGAGCATGCCAGCATGACGCCGACGGTAAGGGGAAGAAGTGAGATATAGGTCTTGCTCGAATAGCTTACTCCGAAAAGGAGGGCATAGGCCGCAACGGTAAATAGAGGAGATAGAGCCTGATAAGCAAGATGAGGATTTGGTCAGCTTTTTGACAGGTAGGCCTTACTCACTTTGATGGTATGTACAGTGCTAACTGGTATTCTGGAAATGGCGATACTTGAAAAGATATGACCACCAACTTGGAATAAACCCATGGGAAATGTGCTTTGTATGATTACTCTTGTTGGCTTCCGCATTTTTGTGAATCGGATGACGGGAGACATGAAGAGAAGGCAGTAGAAGGCGACAAAGCCAAACTGGACAAAGGTGAGGGTGACTGGATAACGAAATTGATTGAGGATGGCTTTTCCTGTATTGGACGAGAGTGCGGAGGTAGAATACCAAAGGCCGCACAGCAAGATGAAAAGAAAATTGGAGGAACCAGGTGCTGTCGTCATTGACCGTCTCCCCGTCATCATTGGATTATACGCATGTCTCTGGGAAAATGGCAGATAACGAGAAATAAGACCAGGAAGCTTAGCCAGGGATGAATTGAAGTCGGATGCTAATGCATGAGCCCAGCCCTTGTCATTAGTCCACACAGGACTGTACATCGGTAGTCGCCCTGCATGGATTCCCCAACTATCGTGCTTTTCGATATGCGGGAAGCGCGAGTTGTTATCGTGGACATGAATTGGAGGAGGTGCCATGACAGTACGGTCAGGCCTGGCAAAAAGTTGTTTGACACTGAGTGGTGATTGCGGCAGTGCAACATACCATCAGCGCTGGTCTCACATCATTATTCCATGCTCAAGAAACGGAAAACTACTGCTTCTACCACCAAAAAATTGGAATCACTGCCAGTAAACGCCCAAAAAGACCTGGTCCAATGGGGCGACAAGGAAGATGCGTCGAACTTGGAAAGGGGTTTACTCTCTTTGCCTGTCGAGTTAACGACAGAAGTCTTGGACTACTTCCCCGCCATAGGACCTTATACTGCAGTCCCTCACAGATCTGACGACCCTGTCCTGCATGAATTTTACCTTGCGCGCATAGATGTACTGCGTGCGTTATCTCAAGTTTCTATCGACTATCGACGCGCTTTTTTACCACTTCTCTGGGACTCACTCAATATCTGTTTTACCATGCGAGCGGCAAGTCCGGGGTGGACGAGTGCTTTCTACAAGCATGTCGGCCAAGCTCTAGTGCGCAAGTGTCATGGCCTCTCAGCCAACCCTAACTTGGCATCTTATATCGAGTAAGGATTGTCCAATCGCCCTAAGCCTATACTTCCCACCGTGTTGACCTAAGCTTCTGAATCATAGGACCGTCCGTGTAGTCATCACGCGTTACCAAAGTAACGTCATCATCCCAAACTTTTCGACATTCTTATCCTCACTCCAAAACTTGCACACTCTTCATGTTTTGCATGCGCATACCCAAATGACAACGGCGATCAAAGAGGGTTTTCAAGGGGTCGTACTTCCCCGAATACGCACACTTATTATCCCGGGATATTGCCATGAAATTCTCAGGTGCTGCCCACGGGTAACTAAAGTATGGTGTAACCGCGACGATGGGAGCAAGCTCGTGACTGTTATCGCAGCATATTGTAAAGAAGTGCAAGAAATGCGTGGTTTCTCAGCAGAGGAAAAATTAGTCAAGAGTGTGTTATGTAATAGCTGAAGACCTGTTTTGTTTCCTAACAACCCTTTACAGGAATTATTAAGGCAGCGCCCAATTTGCGTGTTCTGGACATGGACGATCGTAATTTCCAAGTACGACCTTCTCTCTGTTCTTATAAGAAGATACCAATAATGTTACTGTCTGCAGCCCTTGGTCAATGCTCTCCCCTCTTTCAAAAACATCAATACGATAATCATTAAAGCATACAAACCTGAATTCGACCAATCCTCAGCCGACCTTCATAAATGCATCGAAGCAACTAAACGAAGATTTAAAGACTTGGCACCCTCCAAGGAGAGGAGATATATTCGCGTTTGGCACAAAAGTAACGATGCTGAGTTCGGGGGATATCTTAGCATTAGGGACAGCACCGACTTCAATGCATATGTACGAGGATACTATACTGAAGTTCCTATGGATTGAAACGGTATTCGCTACACGCACCAAAGACATCTTGAGAGTCCGGACTTGTTATTAGGTAAAGAAGGAGAGTATGCCTGTCATCCTGTTGGTTTTCCTCGTCTGCGTTGTCCTGATTGCCCTGGGTGAGTCACTACTCACACAGTGGTGTACCTATCAAAGTCTCTTATTTTCAAGATCTGCAAAACCATTTATCCAATCTTTGTCTCCCCTGAAAAACGAAAGTCAAGTTTTTCCGCCACGGACGAAGCATTCCAAGAAAGAATTGCTTGTCAGAGGACAAAATCTAGAAATTCGAATCGTTGGTCTCGACCGTAGTAATATTAATTATCGATATACATTTCTAAGTTCTAACCTAACAAAAAGCCGATTTTGTGGGAGGCCCTTCCACCCAACAAGTTGAACGTGCAGAATTGAAATTATGACCAGCTTCAAGTTCCAATGTCTTCTGTCAGCTATAAATTATAATGTACATATTACATTCAATTTGTAAACTACCTGGCAGCAAATAACCGAATAAGTCTAATGATGTTTACGATCGGAATAGATATGTGAAGTTTTAGTTGATGGGGTGATGATTATCAAGAAGGCAGCGACCACACAGAGACTCGTCGTAACGCTTGCAAAAATACTAACACTCCGAGGTAGTCGACCCCACGCAAAAGATAACGCGCCTATGAGGGCGAATAAGAAACCAACGAAAGAAAGAAAAATACAGAGAGAACGGCATCGTGATAATAGTTCAGTTGGAGGTTGTCCGTTCCGGAAGGGACCGACGTGCACCAAGCGTGGATTAGTGGAATAGATAATCTGGTCCCCTGAGAGTGGAGAATTCACTCTGACACGTCCGCGAACGCCGGAGCCGGTGCGCACTCCATTGGCGTAAGTTTGAGAACCCCTCGATTTTTCTGCGTCATTCGAAGGGATGGATGTCGGAGAATCAACCAGCTCCATTTCAGCTTCTTCCTCTTCTTCTTGTGCAACATCAAGTTTATGTCGGACGAGAAAGAATGCAGAGAAAAAGGATATAATCGCTGCAGCGGAAATTAAGCGTTATTTCAAAGTAAAAACGGCAAAGGAACCCACCTGCATTAGCATGAATGACTAAAGCACTCATAAGGCCAATATTTGCTAGTTGACTTGTTATTGATAGACCAGGATCGGTCGGGGAAGGAAGTGTAATTGCAAGCAAACTGGCTTCAGTCGAGACAAAGAAAGTGGTCTGAAGAACAGAAAATTCGACATGAGCCTGTATATTTCGGGGAGGTTAACAGTGCGTTGGAAGTTTACTTACAAGGACGCTGATTAATTCAAGGTTGTCCATCCATGTCTGAATGAGAGATCGCAGGGATTCCCGGTAATTTTCCTCGTCTGTGTTGTCCTGGTCTTTTTGGGTCACTGCGGATGGTGACTATCAGTCGCTTGTTTTAAAAGTCGGACTCGGAGCTTACGTCTCGTCGATGGACCCTCACATGAAAAACCATTTGTTGGACCATTGCCTGCACTTGTCTTTTCCCCTGAACAACAAAAATTAAGTTCTTCTGCCGTGGACGAAGGATTCCAACAAAGAGTTACCTGCCAGTTGAAGAGGGGGGTTAAATTTAGAAACTCCTTGTTGAGTCAATGGCTTCGAGGATCGCAATGTTGCCATAGTATCTTCAAATTATGGGACTTGTAGAAAGAGCATAGTTCATGTTCAACTTTCAATTTATATTGTAATCAATGCGATGTTGTCGCATTAGCGCCCTGGGCCTGACT